GTAAGATAGACTGATGTGAACGGATGAGCCCAACGAAAGCAGATGAACTGGGAGAGCTGGAGGGAAGTTGGCTGAGGGTAAGAAAGAGGGAACTGGGTCGTCACAATGAAATTCAGACAGAGTGGTCGGGCTTCATATACCTGCTCGCGCGATGTAGTATCATGTCGTAGTGAGGTGGTGTCTAGATCCAAGGACTGGAGCATGGCCCGGCATGAAGGCGGTGGCTCGCATGAGCCTTGAATTGGTGGATGATAGGCCGGGAGCGCAGTGGTGTTCTGGGACTGAGGCCGGTGACAGGTGTCAAACAACCGCCACTAGTGATGTAATTGACGTTAATGAGTATATGCGGTGATGGGAACAGCTGTCGCAGCTCAGGTCTTGCTAGGGTGGGAACATCAATCAGGTCCCATGCATGGCGTTAATAAGGGCCTCGCGCTTAGTAGGCCACGTGACTTGAAGCGATCTCGTGCGCAAATTCCCCTTGCTATGTCGCTTGTACGCCTTCGTCTTTCTGTTCAACGACTGACATGTCGTACCTTTGCATCAAAACCATCTCGCCCACCGGAAAGATCCGAGCCGCCAGTGCAAGGAGTTACCGAGAAGACTCAGGAGGATTTTCTAGCGATGCTTTCTACTCCGCCAGATTCTCAGTCTAGTGACTACGCCCTCGAAGGCGGTGCCTCAGCTCTTCGGAAAGGGCGATACCCTCAGGCTGCCGACGACACACTCACTCGTCCACTCTTTCCGCCAGGACAATCAGACCAAGTCTACCACCTTCATGTCAAGTCGACAAGCAACAATACGATAATTACTCTGACAGATCCTCAAGGCGGCGCACTGAAAGGAGGATCTGCTAGCGGCGGAACAGTCGGGTTCAAGGGGGTTGGCAAAAGTGGTATGTTTCGTTTTTGTGCTTAAACGAGGCAACATTAATGAACCACTCGAGTAGGCTATGAGGCGGGGTACCAATGTGCCCTTCGAATCTTTGCTCGTATTGCTGAATTGAAGAGAACCGTAAACCGCGCACACGGTGATCTCAAGATTGAGCTTCTCCTAAACGGCATGTTTGGACAGGGGCGAGAGGCCATGTACCGAGCATTAATGACGCAGGACGGTGAGTATTAATGCATTTCGTCGTCAACGGCAATTTTGTGATCCGTCTAACTTGGTACGTAGGTGAACATGTTCGACAAATAATCAGCCGGGTGACGGATACCACCCGGATCCGTGTAGGTGGTACTCGCCCCAAAAAGCGTCGTGTTCTATAAGACTCGCGGCTGTGTTTTGCCCGCAACGTTCTTATATATTGCCCTATTAGCCATCTCCAATTGTATCACTCAGTGCCTTTGTCATCTCAACATTACTTATTTGTAAGATCTGCAAACGGGAGGAGCTCTGATGCATTTTACTCATGAGAATCAGCGAAATAATTTGGTGGTTGCTAGCGAAGCAAGGTGTGTAACGGAAATATTGCTTCCTCTATGGTTACCTGTCTATAATTAGTTTCGAATCGGGGAATTATTCGGGGTGACTGTTTACGCGTGCTTAGCCCCAGGGCGACGGTCGCGATACCGACACGAAGGTCGGTTACTACGAAGTGATGTCTGACATGCGGCATGTGGATACTTTCAGGAACGGCAATGAAAGAACCCATAACCTGAGAGGTATCAAGCTAGAATGCACAACCGACGTAAAAAGAAGTTGGACACGCACAACGTTGCTTAGCGGCTGCCGGCATCGACTAAAATCCGGCGCAGTAAACCCGGAAGGCTTGGTATAAAACTCCAGGAATAGTTCTCTCAAACTTCACCTTTCGGTCCCCCACATCTTTTTACCACTACTTTTGC